ATAAGAAAGAAGGCATTCATGGATTTAAAAACTATTTATTTCTAGTTTGTAACTATAATTTAGCGAAGTACAATATTATATATTCCTAATAAGTATCAAAACATATTACTATGTTGATCAAATTTAACCGTTTTCAATTTAATGATAATTAAAAAAATGTTCTGAAAACATTTTACCATAACCTTGCAGTATTAAGATATATTAGAAATTACTGGATTCTTTGTACAATTGTCTTTAGGGGACTCATAATCTTTTCAATATCATTTCATGCTACAATATTTTTTACAGTAAATACTAGTTTATGATTTATATATATTACAGTGGCGAAACCGTGAGTTTTAAAAATATGGTTAAGAAAACAAAGGGACAGAAGTTATAAATTTAGTAAAATTCAATATACCACAAATATTCTACTACGAGAGGCCTGGGACCAACCAAGCCCCCCCCCTTAATAATACACTTAATCCGCCCCTGTACTATTTCCTATTGACAATAAATTTTGTCTCGTGTATTTAATTCATGTCTTACGCAGAGTTCCGTAGATATACATTGGTAATTGTAATGTCTAGATAGAGATCCGCATTTTTTCATTTTTTAAAGCACTGCTAACTGATGGAACGGAAACTACAATGGTGTTTTATTGATGTGTGACCAAGTATAACATACATTTTGTACGCTTGGTCATACTCCACATCACAGTAGTAGCATTTGAAAATTGTTCTTGTTTTCCATTCATAGAGCGATAAAACAAATTATCATCAAGACAAATAGTAAATAAAACATCTAGGATGTATTTTCTGTTAAAAACACACATACCCGCTTAAGACACACAATGTACGTATGTAACATAGTTGAATATATACCTATGTTGCACTTAATAATATATAAATGTTATAAACCCGATATCAGACAAACCAAGATGACAGATGACCATTTACCTAGCCTTGATGATATACAAACCAATTGTCCTTTATTAATATTAAATAAGAAGCCAGAAACGTAATGATGATGTATACCTTAGTATCCAGAACATTAACTGACTTTCAATAACCTTATGATATAGAACATCAGTACCTCACCATGTGCCTGTATTACAGAACCACTCGTGTAAACATTACCGTTTATGGACAACACTATACGATCACCAGACAATCCTATGATTCTATTAATTGATAGACATTTGCAGTTTGACCAGAACTTTCTCAGAACTATCTTGTACTCGCACTGAATTGCACATAGACATTTTCATCAACGTATTTTTTTCATATAGTTTTAATAAAAGTATCATTTAAACATTTGTGTTTCTAAACCATTACGTCACACGTACGTCTCAATCCAACATTGTACTGCTTGATACTTTAGTCTGGGAAAACATTATTTGATAGTTTTAACTGGCTTTGAACTAGCTTTCAATAACCGCGGGTACTCTTATATCGATACTTTGTATTTATTGTTTTTATGTTAGTTAGTTTGTCTGTGCTTCGTACCGATCTATTGAGTAAAGTCATTTGTAACTGATTTTTACAGTTTGTTCTTATTTTGAGCTGTAACACCACTGTCCAAAGTAAGGGGAGGGTTGAGGGCTTATAAACATGTCTAACCCCGCCACAATCTTTATACTCCTGTCCCAAGTCAAGAGCCTGTAATTCAGTGGTTATTTTTGGTTTATGTCGGTCATATTTGTTATTTTTGGTACTTTGTATTGTATAACTTAGGTAATTATTTTTCTCGTTTTAATTGTTTCTATTTTTTCATGTTTGGGTCTGTTATAGCTGACTGTAAGGTATAGGGTTTTCTCATTGTTGAGGGCCGTACGGTGACCTATATCTACTTTTATCTGCGTCATTTGAACTCTTGTGGATAGTTGTCTCATTGGCATTCATACCACATTTCCTTTTCTTTATATATATATATATATATATATATATAAAACGTCTGAATAATAGTCAACGATTTTTCCCACGAGGGCGCTGGATCGTTACGAGTAACGATACACGTACACAATAAATAAATTATATAAACGCCTAAAAAGTGTACACAACAACACCAATAACAAAAAAAGGAACAATAAATGTAATTATTTATAAATATTTCGGATAACAGATATCCTTCATCAGTAAATATGATTGTGATGTTGAATGAATCATATATCAGTCTACTTAGATTAAACTATACAAATCTTGAAATTTATACAATAAAAATGTCAAACCGAACATCAGGTAAGACGCTTGCACAATTCTAAATATGTGTTAAACACGATATAGGTTATATGACTAATTACAACAGAGAGTTCAAATATATGCTTTAAATAAAAATAATAATGTGCGATATGAACTAGCACAATTCTAAAGCTTTAACGGTGACGACAGTTATGATGTTACAAGAACGATTGCGTCAATAAGAATTCCAAATAAACAGCACTGAACGATCTAAATTTGTAAATATTTCAAATTTGACAACGGTAGAGTAGTTGCAACAGAGTCTGTGTATTTAAACATCGCAAACAAACGGCCGTTAAAATATAATAATAAATTTTGACTAAGGTTAACTAGTTGAACGTGGCTTGGTACTTTTACATCCCTCAAAAAATTAAGCAATTTAAATTGGTATATTCAACAGATTTATTTTAGAGATGAGTAAGGTAAAGAAATAGAAACAGAGACTGTAATAAAAAGTAATACAACCCAAATGTGAAGCACTGCATGGAGTCGAACTACATCTTTTCATTTATCCCATTTGGTGCCAAAGTTGTTGCGGAAACAAACGATGTCTGACTTGCAAACAAATACTGGTTACCCAGACTTTTAACAGTCACTCCACTGGTACAGAATACACCATATTTTGCAATGTTAATTGCAAGACTACAAATGTTGTGTATCTCCTACAGTGTAAATGTGGTAAACAGTATGTTGGCGAGTCAGAACAGCCGTTTCACAAACGAATGAACGGTCATCGTAGCGACTACCAATGCAAGCCAGACCTCCCTCTCAGTCGACATTTGAGATCCCCTGGCCACACTAAGGCAGATCTCAATCGACTGACCATTACAATCATTGACCACAACTCTGCTTGGTCTAGGGAGGATAGACTCACTCGGGAAAGATTTTGGATAAGAAAATTAACAACTTTGGCACCAAATGGGATAAATGAAAAGATGTAGTTCGACTCCATGCAGTGCTTCACATTTGGGTTGTATTACTTTTTATTACAGTCTCTGTTTCTATTTCTTTACCTTACTCATCTCTAAAATAAATCTGTTGAATATACCAATTTAAATTGCTTAATTTTTTGAGGGATGTAAAAGTACCAAGCCACGTTCAACTAGTTAACCTTAGTCAAAATTTATTATTATATTTTAACGGCCGTTTGTTTGCGATGTTTAAATACACAGACTCTGTTGCAACTACTCTACCGTTGTCAAATTTGAAATATTTACAAATTTAGATCGTTCAGTGCTGTTTATTTGGAATTCTTATTGACGCAATCGTTCTTGTAACATCATAACTGTCGTCACCGTTAAAGCTTTAGAATTGTGCTAGTTCATATCGCACATTATTATTTTTATTTAAAGCATATATTTGAACTCTCTGTTGTAATTAGTCATATAACCTATGTCGTGTTTAACACATATTTAGAATTGTGCAAGCGTCTTACCTGATGTTCGGTTTGACATTTTTATTGTATAAATTTCAAGATTTGTATAGTTTAATCTAAGTAGACTGATATATGATTCATTCAACATCACAATCATATTTACTGATGAAGGATATCTGTTATCCGAAATATTTATAAATAATTACATTTATTGTTCCTTTTTTTGTTATTGGTGTTGTTGTGTACACTTTTTAGGCGTTTATATATATATATATATATATATATATATATATGTATGTGCTCACATTAATATTGTTTACAACACGAATATTTACTGTATGATATCCATATTTGGTTGAATCGACATCGATATACGTATGTTTGGATCGATACAACATGTGTACCTGGGCGTTGACTTGTTGGATACTTCCACCATATTTACATGGGAGTGAACATGTTTGATCTATCCAAATAAACCAATGCCGGTGCCTATGCAATTTATAAGATGTGACAAACAATAATATATACAAACATACGTACTACAGAACCAGAACATTGGTTTCGTGCTTTAAAAAGTCCTTTATTTGAACCTTTTCATTGTTTTTAAACGTAATCGCGTTGACATACAACATTTTAAGCCATTGACATTTTGTTTAATCACTCGATCAAAACCTGGACCGCACTCAAAAAACCCGGACTGCTCTCGAAAAAACACGGACATATAAAAATGAATTTATTCTAAAAATGCCCTTCTCAATACAATAACAAGATTTACTACAAAGTGTCTGTATATCTAGGGATATATAGATTCCAAATATACATTTCCTTCGACATTTGCATTGGTACTTGTTTAAAAATAGCTTTATTCTATACTTTGGAATGAAGCATTTTAAAGCTAAATTAACTTTTAGAACACACAATAATGTAGGAGGGATGATTTCTTTCTATCACCAATACTAACTTACCTTGTATGATCTTGTATATTAGGTTTAAGCATCTATTTCACGTCTTACAAAAAAAAGTATACAATTTTGATCATATTCACTCGCAAACACATGGTCACACTCGAAAAAACACGATCCCTGCCGGACACTTATACCTACTGTGAGCTGGATATCACATTCTTCTTTTCACTTTGATATCGTTTATAGAAATCCCAAATTAAGACATGATCCATGTACACTTTTTAGTGCAAATTAAAACTATATTGTTTTACTTACATCTATAAATCAATCAATTTCAAAGATGCACGTCTAAAGTTCTCTAGTACTTGATCGATTTTATATGGGCCATTACAAACCCATAAAGAACTTTATAAATAACATTTTCGTCTCCATCTGTATAACTGAAATGACTGTCTTTACACTATTTGAAAAATGTAATTGTCTTTCTTCCCATTTATTTAGCATGTGTCTCAACTAACAGATTTCTATCCCGAATGCTTACGAACTGGAACCAGTGAAATTGATTAAAACTTCAATGACAAGTAAGCATACATTTTTTTAATCAATACATAGTTGGTTGTGCACTGTTTTATTGTACATCTAGTTTTAAATTTGTTTCGATTAAATACAATTATATGTGTTTCACTTGTAGCTGGTTGTGGACAAGTTGACTTTGTTGAAGTCATACCATGCGTATAGCACATTACTGGAAATTGCAATGGATAGCACATGCTAACCCTAATCCAGCATCTGATGTTAATCCAATATTTATGGATTTTGTGGAAAACTTTATTTTTCTGATATATTGTATTTTACACCCCACGCAACACAGTTTTTGACCCGTCCGTCCGTTAGTCCGTCTGTCCGTCAGTCCTGGTCTTGTCATAGCAACTCTTCAGAAAATACACAACATAATTTCATGAAACTTTGTAGATAATGAGGGCATACTTTGTAGATGATCATATCAACAGGAAATTCTAATTCATTTTTTTAAGGAGTTAAGCCACATTGGACTTAGAATTTTGGCCTAAATATACTCTAATACCACACAACAGAATTTCATTAAACTTTCAAGATGAAATTATCATTTAATTATTTTCTAAGGTTTATGCCCCTTTGAACTTAGAAGTTTGGTCTTAATATACTACTGCAAAAGTTTTTCATTGCAACTCCTCTACAACCACACTAAGGATTTCACGAAACTTTGTAGATAATGAGGACATAATATGTAGATGTGCATATCCACAAGAAATTTTTATCAATTGATCTTTTTAGGAGTTATGAATCTTTGAACATAGGAATATGGTGAAATTTTGTTACAATGTAGGGGTGTGGAGTACATTTGACAAAAAGTCTTTAATTGCTTCTTTATTTTTTCTTTTTCCTCTTATATAGATCAGTGCATTAATTAACAAAAAATCTAAAAAAAAAACTAATTTCAAAATGAATCATACATTAAAATCATGTATACGATAACAACTGTACAGGTAGTTTTCTATCTCGTTTATGTTTGTGTCACTTTCATCTGAGCTCGTCCGTTTTATTCATTTCACTTTATTATCTGACTTTGATAGACTTTTAGTACTTCTTGAATACGGTTCATCGGTGTACTGAAATAAATAAGTAAAATAAAATGATACTCATAAAAGAGAGAAGAAAACAAAGAGATATTCAAACTTGTATGTCGCTGACAAACTGACAACACCATGGCAAAATACGGAAAAAACTAAAAGAAAAGAAAAGCAATAGTACACAAAGCAAATTAAACATAAACTGTTTGGTGAAAGGACATTTTTAAGGTTCAAACTGTATAAAATACATATAAAAATAAAGATGTGGTTTGATTGCAAATTAGACAACTCTCCACCAGAGACGAAAATGACGTAGATGTTAACAACTGTAGGTCACCGTACGGCCTTCAACAATGAGCATAACCAAAACCGCGTAGTCAGCTATAAAAGGCACCGACATGACAAATGTAAAACAATTCAAACAAGAAAACTAACAGCCTGATTTATGTACAAAACAATAAACAAACAAAAAAACAGTATGATATGCAAACAACAAATGAGAAACACTGAATTACAGGCTGGACAGGCACATACAGAATGTGGCGGGGTTAAACATGTATGCTTGGTTTCATTTTATTATTTTTCTTTCTGTGTCATATTCTGGTGAAAAGTTATACTTTAAACATATTTTATTTCAAAAAATCATGTACATGACATATACATATAAATGCAGTAATATATGAATACAAAGGGATTCGGAAACATGGGTTTTCACTAATGAAATTTTCAGATTGCCTATAATTTCTGTTTGTTGATTAAACCATAACATAATGCATGATACCAACTTAAGTATGTATATCCTGTGTGGAAAGTTGTTCAATTACTCGTGTAAATAATAATGTGTCGGAAGTGAATTCCTGTTGGTTCAAACACTGTCTGCTGACGCTTAAAATGTATCAAATTGATTAATACTTGATATGATGATCTACTTTATACATGAAAACCCTGACCTGGTGGTAAATTGTACAAAATGTATGCATAACTTTTTAGATCATATTATGAAGGCCTAACACAAACATATATAAGAATTTTTTTTTTCGAAACTTTCCACTTTCCACTTTCCACAAGTACATATGTCTTATTTCATATCAATAAATGAAATCAACTATTTTGTACGACGTTTCAACGTCTAAATTTTACATAGCTTATTTAGGTGTGTCGTTATCAATCTATTGGATTACCAAACGGTCACACGTAAACAAATCAAGTAATATATATATATAGAAATACAAGTTTTCCGCATATTTTAAAATATGTGATGATCTGTGGCAATATAATATTTTGATTAATGTTATACAACGCTATAACAGGGTAACTCAGATATTACAGCTTTATGGTAAAACGATTATAGTTTGGTACCATCTCTGTTTTGCAAAGTCTGAGGTTCTCGTAAATTATCTTTACATGTATACCATATGGGTTGTTTGTTGACTTTTCCAGACAGATTGTTTTAAACCAAAATTGTAGCTTCTCCTAGGTGTCTCAACTTACTAGCGGCATGTTTTCGCGGTTTTAGATCTTTAGATACCAGTAAAGTCATCTGATCTGTAATTTTACAGATTGTCTCTTATTCCCGATTGTGACATGTTGACTGAGTGTGACATGTTGACCGATTGTGACATGTTGACTGAGTGTGACATGTTGACCGATTGTGACATGTTGACTGAGTGTGAATTTGCATGGCGGATGATGCATGCATAGCAGGAAAGTTTTATCATGCTCCTCTAGTTCATACGATTCCCTCAGTGTTTGTTTTTTTACCTTTGTCTCTTCTTTATCGATGTACGATATTTGAACATCGGTACACTTCTGTCGCTTAAATCAATGTACGAAATTTGAACATCGGTACACTACAGTCGCCTTAATCGATGTACGAGATTTGAACATCGGTACACTACTGTCGCCTTAATCGATGTACGAGATTTGAACATCGGTACACTACTGTCGCTTAAATCGATGTACGAGATTTGAACATCGGTACACTGCTTTCGCCTTTATCGATGTACGAGATTTGAACATCGGTACATTACTGTCGCTTAAATCGATGTACGAGATTTGAACATCGGTATACTACTGTCGCCTTAATCGATGTACGAGATTTGAACATCGGTACACTACTGTCGCCTTAATCGATGTACGAGATTTGAACATCGGTACACTATTGTCGCCCTAATTCATGCAATGCATTTTTTTATACCGTTTTAATGTTTGTTTTAGATGGATATATTCGGTTATAGAAACTTTTTTCTCCCAATTCTTGTTGTTTTGCTGCCTGTAGAGGTACTATATTATAGTTGTTTTACCAGTGGTGCTATTATTTAGTCCATCTTGAAGAACAAGTTTGCATCATTTTTTTTCTTCATTTTTTTCTATTTTATTGATGTCTGAAAAGGAAATGTCGCTGATCTTTTAATCTAAAGTAAAATTGCTACCATTTTTCTAATTCGTCCGTGGTAAGATCGGTTTCCATTTGTAAGGATTCAGTTTCTGTATTGTTGTCTCGCTTTTCTTGTATTAGATTTTTTAATGAACACATTTTTTTAAATGACGTCTTTTTTTTGTTTCGTTTTTGTTATAACATTTCTGACGTGGTTAGTATAGCTTTCAATTCTTTCAAATGTTTTAGACACTTGTGCGTTAGATTTACTTGTCTGCTTGTACAGTTTTTTTTCAGAAAGTAATAAATAACTGAGATGAAAATGCCGCTTCCCGAACTTTATTTATACTTTTCAAGCTATTGTTGTAACTGTGCACCACTTATTGCGGACCTGTTTCTGTATCGTTACGAATCACAATTTATGTCTTAAATCAGCAAAGACCCACTTAAACAACATATGATACAAACATTTAATAACACTTTTAGATATTTGGATGATAATTTGGCTCTCAATTATGACGATTGCAGTATGTACACTAAAGAGATTTATCCTGTTGAACTTTCTTTGAATAAAGCTTATAAGTACAATGAGCACTGCCCTTTCCTGGATCTGATGTTTATATCTCTAACGAGTAGCTTGATACTAAAAGTTACGATAATTTTTCATTTCCTATTGTTAATTGTCCGTTTTAAGATAGTTACGTTTCCTTGGCACCATCGAATGGTGTTTATATATCTCAACTTGTCTATTCGCTCGTGTATGTAATAGCGTATTTGATTTTAACGAAATAAATCGCTGTATAACCGAAAAATTATTACACTGGGGTTTTCGATATCACAAACTTGTCAAAACTTTTACTAAATTTTATCATCGGTACGAGGACATCATTAATTTTGTAAATATAACCTGCAGACGTGCAGACATCTTATTTCTCAATACGTTAAGGTATTGCAAAACCCATATTTTATGATGATATTCTATACAAAGCACAAAAATGTCGTCATTCACTGCAAAAGCCAACCAAACCTTTAAACAGACTTATTCACAAGGAATATAGTTACAATACTGTTGTCAAGTCATTAAATATGGCATTTTTTGGAATTAATATTGATTCACAGGGTCTTTGCATCGAAAACAAACCTGCTATTCTAAAACTAGTTGTTGGGATGATACGGGTTATGTTCTTATCGTATAATTTATGATTGCATGATACTAAACCCCTAACGGAAGGGATTGTGGTTGATTTTCATATGATGAAGACATAAGTTTTCAATCAGTTCAAATGAAGTCAGGAGCTAGTATGTCAGTTACTGCTAGTAGTCCTTTGTTAATTTGTGTTGATCATTGTCATTTTGTTAAGTTTCTTCTGTTGCCTATTCTAACATCTGACACTTTTAAACTGAGTGAAACTGTGCGCATTGCTGTGTTTTTGTTTATTCCTCATTGGCTAGAGATATAGGGGGAGGGTTGAGATTTCACTTATCATGTTTAACCCTGCTGCACTTTTGCGTCTGTCCCAAGTCAGGAACTTCTAGCCTTTGTTAGTCTTTTGTGTATGTTGTTTTTTAAATTTTGGTTCATTTGTATGTTTCGGTGTTTAGTGCGGCGTCCATTTCGCTGAACACGTATACATTATTGTTTATGGGCCTGCTGAAGCCCCCCTCCGGGTGCGGGAGTTTCTTGCTGCGTTGAAGAATAATTGGTGGCCTTGGGTCGGGTTGTAGTCTCATTGACACAATCCCAGTTTCCATTCTCTATTCTATTTGTAAATAATAAAGTGTTGTAATCTATAATATTACCGCATACAGAGAAATGGTCAAAAAACACAACGTTCACTGGTTTGTGGCAGCCGACAAATGACGAATTGGTGTTCTGTGCAAAACGATAAAAACGTGTTTTGAGTTCCTAAATGAACACCAATGAGCTATTTCATAAAATCTTTTTATCGGTTTGCAAATTTAAAGAATACAATTATACCGCTTTATCGATTAGCAGTTACTTAGTTTGTACAATTTATACATTTCATGCCTTCAATAGTTTTTGAAGAAGAGTATTTTTTTTTCAGGGCTGAAGGAATGCAAACATTTTATATATCCTTTTATCTCTGCTTTGAAGTGCTGTAGACGTATGACCGGTGTTTAAAAATGACAAATATGTCTGAAGAAGAAGAGAACTACGTCAGAATGGGTTTGTTGCTGACAGGAATCTCACCAAGCGCTGTTCGTACATTATTTGATAAACAATTCCATCCTCCTGATTTGAATTCCATTTTAGAGAGAGAATACAATAAACTGTTAGAACTTAAATCAAAGAAGAAAATTAAAGAGTCTCATTGGAGTCTTCTTTTTCCTGCATGTGACAAGAATAGTAAGTGTGTTTATATAAAAAGTATATTTCATATAAGAAAAACCCAGCCTCATTCTATTACATAAGATAGTTGAAGACACCATTGTGTAGAAAAATCAATTCAGATTTACGAAATAACAAGTTTTAGTGGGGTTGACAACCAAGAAATCGGCATATAACGGAATTTCGCGACCGGCTGACATTTTACAAAAATGCGAGTTAAGTACCTTGTGTTATATTAAGGTATATAGGAAATTTTTTTTCTCAGACAAGTGCCTGTGGGTTCTATGATATTCTGAATCTAACCGTGTGTATGGATTTTTGGATTTTTGACCCCGTTATCAAATTGGTCCGCATTGAGGTCTAAAGGGTCCCAAATTAAACTTTGTTTGATTTCATCAAAAATTGAATTCTTAGGGTTCTTTGATATGCTACATGTAGATCTAACCATCTATTTAGACTTTGGATATTGGACCATTAAGGTAAGTTTACCAATTTCAAATTTTTCAGTTCTCCGACCACATTCGTTCTGTGTCAGAAACCTATACTGTGTCTAATATTTAATCAGTCTAAATTTAGAGATGTATCAATCTTGAATGTTGTGTCCATACTTGCCCCAACTGTTCATGGTTCGACCTGTACGGTCGTATAAAGCTGCGCCCTGCGGAGCAATTCATTTCATTTAAATTTTCGTTTACAAAAACATTGTATGCAAATGATATAAACTCAACGTGAGACAAGGTCTTAACAAAACTTAAAATAAATATTATACAGAAGATACATACGTACCGTATTTTAAACTCTAAAGCACTCTAGATATATTTATCAATAAATTCATCATAGACTGTTGCAGATCTGAACTCAACAACAAATTCAGAAATTATCAAAACTAGTAAGAAACAAGGGTTGTCTTGGATTTTGTTTTTACCGTACACTCTTACTTTTGATTTAAGAATCGCTATTCTTTTGACATGACTTATGTTCTTTTTGTTTATAGGAATACGAGAATCAAGAAACTTTGACACCACGTTGATGATAACTTTATTTAGATATCTTACTTCTATTGAAATATCGACTGATGGAAAATTACCTTCAGCAACCGACACAACCCTTGGTGCTGATATAGCCAGGATTGAATATTACAGGAACTATTTATCCTATTTAGAAGATGTTAAAATGAACAACGCTGTCTTTAATGATGCTTGGGATGATACATGTAATGTAAGTTTGGACTAATGACACACAAGTTAAAACAAAAGAAAAGAAAACCACTATCATTTTAGGGAGCTCCTCCAAAAAATTTGTCTAACCAAAACAATATAAAAAAAAAATATCGAACATGCTGTCAATACCAAACGGTAAATTAAAAAGGAGGAAAGTCCAATTTAATTGTTAACAACACGTTATAATTTTTTGCATCCGAAGCGCTTTTCTGGATTTACCTTCCTCGAGAACGCTCAAAGCCAAATATTTGAATACCAATGATGTAAAAGAACCAAACCAGTTTTTAAGGGCAATTTGTTAAAAAAGGACCTAAAAATAATAGCCAAATGATTTGAACTGACACTGTATTGAAAGGAAAATTGATTGACCTTTCAACGTCAAAGTTTTACTTTTTTATTTGTTAATGGTCCTGTTTTAAAACAACTACCATGTCATTTACTATTTAAAATTGCTTCAAACTGAATATACCCTGAATTAATCTCTTTGGTATAGTCTATGCTGAATGAACAAAATAAAAAGTTCGAAATTTAAGTAACTTGTTCAAGAAATATTGGATCAACCGTCGAATAACGATATAACACGTTCAGCGTAAAATTTTAGAATTAACAAGAAAAAAATCTTGAACCCTATCAATGTACTTGAAATGAAAGATAATCACCAATTGAATGAAATTGTTAACACAAGCGGGAAATGTATATAGGAAATAAAGTTTTTTTGACATAAAGAGTAAAATCGTTTTTGATATTTTTCGTTTTTATTCCTATAACATGACTCCCATTTTCCATAGACTTAAAACAATCCTTTCTAACTGCTTTACATGAATAATCTTTATATAGAACTCTTATCAGTAGCTACTATGACTGCTGTTAATGTAAATACAACATTAAATTAAAACACTGAATGTCCGATGTCTCAACGGCTTCCGGTTTTCTAGTTTAGTATTGTATCATATATTTTACTATTAATTGTGCCCTTAATAAGCCCCATTTTTTGTGACAGTTTAGCACTTTATCTGCAGATCATCTTACACCTAGCAGATTTGAGATATCTGTTGTCATTCTAGAATAGAGATATGGCAGTATGAAATTTTGTGAGCGGGGGCATATATTTCTAAACCAACAACAGTTAGCCAACTGAAATTTTCAGATATTGAAAAGTTTAACATGGTTACATGTTTGACTATATACCAAAAACATTTGATGAAAAATAAAGAAAAATAAGTAGTTTGAAATTTTCATGTTTTACATTGAGTTTGTAAGTTCTATTTATAAAATTAATATTGCATCATTTTTTTTAACTTTGCAAGATGGGGTCATGTGATATATCAAGTTGGACGTCTGAATGAGCTCTATTAAAAATGACAATTTTAAACCCCCTTTTCCATCCTTAATAGAAGGATGGGGTTATAAAGTGCAAAAATTAAAAACTTTTAAGATGGCAAAGTTGTGGCATATCAAATGATATAATGGGTTGGGTGGGTTCATTGAGTCCAAAAAATAAGTTGGCTTAGAAATGTGTCTGATGGAGCTATTAAGTGCAAAAATTAAACTTTCTGGAAGATGGTGTTCAGTGGCGGATCGAAAAATTTTCATAAGGAGGTGGGTTGGGGGTGGGGGCACTGACTGCCTAAGAGGGGGGGGCGCTCCAGTCATGCTTCAGTGATTCCCTAAATAATCAACCAAATTTTTCCCACAAAAGGGGGGCCCGAGCCCCCTGGAATACCCTCTAAATCCGCCTCTGGTGTTGTTTCAAATGAAGTCATCAAGTCTACAAAAAAAAATATCATACTTCCGATCTCAAAAATTTAGGTGGAAAGGGTTATTAACGTCAGGACGAGGAGGATAAAATGAGATCAAAGATATTGTGAATTATATATATTTATTGTAGGCTATTTATAGATTAGGGGGTACGTTGCTTCACAGAGAATGTGACTTTTTAAAAAGTAAAATCCTGGATCAAACTAATCAGCAAATTATAGTGGAGATGAAGCAGTCCATTAATGAGATACAAGAAATAAGACACAAAGCAGACAAGTTACAACTAGCATATGACTCCTTGCAAACCCAGACAGATTCCCTACATGATGAACATGAATCTTTGAAAGAAATCCACGGAAACTTAAGGAAAGATTATAAAACTGTGAGTCAGGACGTCTTGCGTTTAAACAAGGCTTTTGAAGATGCAGTGCCTTGGAATAGAAGAGGTAGGTTTATACGTATGGCTGTTTGTTTTAATGTTTGACAAACAAGACAGTGTTGAGCATTATTTAAAAGACTTATGAACGCATTACTATGTCATGATTGTTTGCTTAATATATACGTATACTCCTTTAGATGTGGTATGATTGCCAATGAGACAACTATGCACCGAAGTTCAAATGACTTGGATGTAAGCAATTATAGGCTACCGTATATTATGGATTTGTATTAATGATTTGGAGTAATGTTTGTTACAAAACATTGTTAACATAACTTCTGATAAAATTCAGAAACGATTGTAAACTTACACATTTTTTTAGCTAACCTGGCCCAAAAGGGCCAAGTGAGCTTTTCTCATCACTTGGCGTCCGTCGTCCGTCCGTCGTCATGGGGGTAAAATGCAGGTTTTGGCTTATATCTCTGAAACTAAAGCATTAAGAGTAAATCTGACATTGGGGTAAAACAATTTATCAGGTCAAGATCTATCTGCCCTGAAATTTTCAGACGCATCAGACAACCCGTTGTTGGGTTGCTACCTCTGAATTGGTCATTTTATGGAAATTTTGTTGTTTTTAACCGGATTTTCGAAGGAAATATCGGTTATTGATTTGGGGATGTACGGCGGTCAATCAAGCGGGCTACGGGCGGACGGGCGGCTGCCAAACAGTGTCTCTTCAATAACATGAAAACGCTGTGATGATTTTTTTTCAAATTTAGATGTTGTTTCTTGTGACTAAATGAAGGTCAAGTTCAATTTTCACGATTTTAGTATTTCTCCTTTTTGAGTTATCGCCATTTTTAATATCCAAAAGTGGTATTTTTGAATATTTTTCTCTTGTTATCATATTATGACTAAGCATAGTAAATGTCTTATCACAAAATAAAAATTGGAGTGACAGATTTATTTGAAAATTTTCTATTTCCTAAGTGGTGATGATTATAAGCTATATTATTAGACATTTTGAAGTTAATTAGATTATTAATTATTATATATGTAATGTTAGAGTACTATGTTAAACCATAGTTCTGTTCAAAGGGAAATAACCCTTCAGATTTGCAAGTATGATTTTCATTATTAATTAGATCTGGGAAATATCTTAGCATATGATACTCATTGGAGTGACAGATTTATTTGAAAATTTTCTGTTTCCTTATAAGACCTGTAGGACTGTATATATAAAGTTTGAAATTTACTAGTAGGACTGTATAAATGAAGTTTGAAATTAACTGTTCATTATTAGACATTTTGTATATAATTAAATCTCCCTAAACCATATATATTCTTACCCCCACTCCCCTTCAATTTAAGAATGTGCTTTTATCTTGTAAACGGTCGAGATGACCACCCCTAAACCATATATATTCTTGTATGGGACAATAAAACAAATCAAATGAAATATTGGGGAGTCCCCGGGTTCACCCCACCCCACTTCTTTTTGAAAACTTGTAAAACGATCAAGATCCCCCACCCGAAACCATATATATTCTTGTATGGGACAATAAAACAAATCAAATGAAATAAAAGGCGAGTCCCCTGGGGTCACCCCACCCCCTCCTGTTTGAGAACATGTATACGGGCGAGATCCCCATCCATAAACCATATATATTCTTGTATGGGACAATAAAAAAATCAAATGAAATATAGGGGAAGTCCATGGGGGTAACCCCCATCCCCTTCTTTTTGAAAACTTGTAAACGGTCGAGATCCCCACCCCTAAACCATATATATTCTTGTATGGGACAACAAAACAAATCAAATGAAATTTAGAGGAAGTCCCCTGGGGTAACCCCCACCCACCTTCTTTTTGAAAACTTGTAAACGGTCAAGATCCCCACCCCGAAACAATATACATTCTTGTATGGGACAATAAAACAAATCAAATGAAATATTTGGGGAGTCCCCGGGTTCACCCACACCCCCCTTCTTTTTGAAAACTTGTAATCGGTCAAGATCCCCACCCTGAAACCATATATATTCTTGTATGGGACCATTAAACAAATCAAATGAAATAAAAGGCGAGTCTCCTGGGGTCACCCCAACCCCCTCCTCTTTATGAACTTGTTAACAGTCGAGATCCACACCCCGAAACCATATATATTCTTGTATGGGACAATAAAAAAAATCAAATGAAATATAGGGGAAGTCCATGGGGGTAACACCCACCCCCCTTCTTTTTTGAAAACTTGTAAACGGTCGAGATCCCCACCCCTAAACCATATATATTCTTGTATGGGACAATAAAAAAAATCAAATGAAATATAGAAGTCCATGGGGGTAACCCCCATCCCCATACTTTTTGATAACTTGTAAACGATCAAGATCCCCACCCCGAAACCATATATATTCCTGTATGGGATAATAAAACAAATCAAATGAAATATAGGGGAAGTCCACGGGGGTAACTCCCACCCCCCTTCTTTTTGAAAACTTGTAAACGGTCGAGATCCCCACCCCTAAACCATATATATTCTTGTATGGGACAACAAAACAAATCAAATGAAATTTAGAGGAAGTCCCCTGGGGGTAACCACCACCCCCTTCTTTTTGAAAACTTGTAAACGGTCGAGATCCCCACCCCTAAACCATATATTCTTGTATGGGACAATAAAAAAAATCAAATGAAATATAGGGGAAGTCCATGGGGGTAACCCCCATCCCCATTCTTTTTCATAACTTGTAAACGATCAAGATCCCCACCCCGAAACCATATATATTCTTGTATGGGACAATAAATCAAATCAAATGAAATATTGGGGGAGTCCCCGGGTTCACCCCCCCCCTTCTTTTTGAAAACTTGTAAACGGTCAAGATCCCCACCCCTGGGGTCACCCCCACCCCCTCCTATTTATGAACTTGTTAACGGTCGAGATCCCCACCTCTTAACCATATATATTCATGTATGGGACAAAAAAACAAATCATGTGAAATAAAGGGCGAGTCCCCTGGGGATCACACCCCCTTTTGAAAACGGCCGAGATCTCCACCCCTAAACAACCATATATATTCTGTTCGTTATTTCAAGAAGATTTGAATGACATACAGGGTCAATCCATAGGCGTCACTTATGCATATCACAAACCAATTTGTACTGGACTTTGCCCAATGTCAAGCGACCATGGGAATGACGAATTATTGGAGCTTTGTTTGGGAGACTTCGTAACAGCATCCTGTTACAATTGTTTCTTGTTACTGATAAGTTTTATAGATTTTGAAAAGACATTGTATTAATGATAAATACAATTTTGGATTTTTTTCTTCTTTTCTTTGGTAAATTGTTTGAAGAATTTTTTGGCAAGTTTGTTTGTTATTCTGTAAAAACTAATTTTCTGAATGCTATATATTTGTTTTTTGATGAAGTGAACTCCTTTAAAAACTAAGCTTATATTGTCTATTAATAAACATATATTTAGATTTCTGATTTTGGGCCCAGTTTTCAAGTTGGTCCAAATCGGGGTCCAAAATTAAACTTTGTTTGATTCAACAAAAAATGAATTTATGGGGTTCTTTGAAATGCTGAATCTAACCATGTACTGAGAGATTTTGGATTGTGGGCTCCTTTATCAAATTGGTCCACATTGAGGTCCAAAGGGTCCTAAATTAAACTTTTGTCTGATTTCATTAAAAATTGAATTCTTGGGTCTCTTTGATATGCTGATTCTAATATGTACTTAGATTTTGGATATTGGACCATAATAGGTAAATGTCCAATTTCAAATATTTCATTTCTTTGACCACATTCATTTTGTGTCACAAACCTATCCAAATATTAAATCACAATCCAAATTCAGAGCTGTTTTAAGCTTAAATGTAGTGTCCATTACGTGCTCAACTGTTCAGGGTTCGACCTCTGCAGGAAAATCCGGTTTGCCGTCACTCTGACAGCCTCTTGTTGGTTATTATCTTGAATATTATAATAGATAGAGATAAACTGTAAACAGCAAAATTGTTCAACAAAGAAAGATCTTCAATTAAGTCAACATGATCAAAATTGTCAATTGACCCCATAAAAAGTTATTGCCCTTTAAAGAAAATTTTTTACAATAATCTTCTCCTCTGAAACTACTGGGCCAAAATAAACCAAAGTTGGCCTTAATCATCCTTAGGGTATTTGGTTTTAAAAATATATCCGATGACCCCGCCCATCAACCAAGATGGCCGCCATTGCTAAAAGTAGAACATGGGGTAAAATGCAGTTTTTGGCTTATATCTCTGAAACTAAAGCATTTAGAGCAATTCTGACATGGAGTAAAATTATTCATCAGGTCAAGATCTATCTGCCCTGAAATTTTCAGACGCATCAGACATTCCGTTGTTGGGTTGCTGCCCTTGAATGTGTAATTATAGGGAATTTTTGCAGTTTTTGGTTATTATTTTGAATATTATAATAGATAGAGATAAAATGTAAACAGCAAAATTGTTCAACAAAGTAAGATCTACAAATAAGTCAAAATGACCAAAATTGTCAAATGACCCCATAAAGAGTTATTGCCCTTTAAAATCAATTTTTCACAATTTTTCCTAAATTTTTGTAATCTTTCACCATCACCAAAACAGAATTTTGTCATGAATTCTATTCTTGTCTTTGATGTTGTAGAGTGTCTTTTGTTTAATATACACTGCAGCACATAGACCAATGTGAGCGACACAGGCTCTTTAGAGCCTCAAGTTTGTTTACGTAAAGACATAAGAAATTCGAGAATGACCATCATAATACCATATACAAATTGCATACACAAACAATTCATGTAAGGATCAAATGAATTCTGAAATGACAGCATGGTGGCAAAAAAGTTTGATGTCCCTTTTTAGATATAAAGAATTCGTAGATCAATTTAATATTCTGTAAAAAGGAACACGTGTCTAAAGGAATTTTGAAACTAACCTTAAATAAAGCATGTAAAGATCAGGAATAATGTGACCAACAACAGATCGGAAAACTTATTTCATAGGTCTCAAAAACTTTAACAAAAATGTTTGCTTTTTTAAGACAACGTTGTAAGGCGTAACATAGCTTTTACATGGAAAAATTGTCAAAACATACCAGACTTGTAATATTGTTCGCCAAACGCGCGTTTCGTGTTCGAAAGAATCATCAGTAAAGCATGAATAAAAGAGTAAAAAGGCCAAAATCAAGAAAAAGTTGAGCGTTGAGGACCAAACATTTGTATGAAATTAGAGTTTTCAGAATAAAGGCTTAGTGAGTTGTGGTGATAATAGTAATTGACAAAATCTTTCAAAAGAATTTTATCAAGAAACTTATTTTACATTGTCAGACTGTACTTTTTGTACACAAATCTTTTCTTCCAGATACGTTAGGATCGTCTTATTATACATTCGCCTCGTAGTAGGGGCATACTATTTTACCCGTGTCCGTCCGTCAAATTTCCGTCTGTACAATAAAATTTCAGAACTATAAATCAGAGCTTCATGAAATTTGTTATCAGGCTTCATGAGAACATGTTTTACCTTGTGATGCGGTTTCAGATTTATCTATCTTCATAATGGACATGTATGAAATGCTCGTTGGTTTTTTCTCAGGAACTACAAAATCAGATTTATCAATTCTTGACTTCCTGTTTACCGAATACTTGTATAACTATTATTATCTAACACATACTGGCCCTGTAGAAATGAGATCTCCCATAAATTTGTGATCAGGCCTAAGTTGCGCGTGCACATGCTTTACCATGTGATATGAATAAAGATGCATCAACATCCTGTCATTGAATTATTTAAGGTATCATAAGTAAGCAGTAGCACCCAGTTCTACTATTTTAATAATCGGTTTGTGGTATTGCTGTCGGATGATTCCCTTATAGGATTGCCATTCTGAAAATATAAATAATTTCAATTTCTTTTTTGAGACTATAAATACCAGATACAAGTATCCAAAGAGTTTTATTCAAGTTGAAACGCAATTCTGAACCCCAGCGAACAGTTAAATAAAACCAAGTTCTATTTGTTAGTTTGTAGATTTTCATCAACACAGAAACATCCATTTGACACACCTGAGAAGAATTGGAGTCTCAAAAAAAAAACCAAACAAACAAACAAAAACACACATAGGTCAATTCTCACTACACGCTTGATCACCTGTAATTATTTGATTTTCATTAACTTTCAATTTCTGAATAAACATTTGTTTGAAAGGGTTTACCTATCATCTTTGTTCAATTTTCAGTACATATGAAAAATAGAATAAAAGCGTGGAAGAAAGGTGATGAGATGCATATTGAAACTCGGGCTGATAGACATATTTTTGAACTTATTGCCAAAAAAAGCTGTGTTACAGTTATTGCAAGTTCTGGTGTTGGAAAAACATCTGCCATCAGACATATAGCGTTACTTATGGCAGAAAAAGATTATGATATTCTTCCTGTCTCAGATCCGTATGATATAATAAACTTCTACAACAAAAATAGAAAGTCATTATTTGTAATTGACGATATTTGTGGAACATTTTCCTTAGACATTGAACAGTTGGAAAGATGGGGTCTGATATTAACAGACATTAAAAGCCTTTTAGAGGAAGGAAACTGTAAGATAATCGCAGCATGTAGACTCCAGATTTTTAATGACGCTAAATTCGAAGAAATGTCTATTTTTAAGTTAAACGGTTGTAACTTGATGTCCGATGAAACCATGTTGACAAGAAAGGAAAAACAAGATATAGCAGAACTTTATTTGAAAGCAGATGCCTCAAAAATATGCGATTTGCATGACGAATTTGTTTTTTTCCCTCTTCTTTGTCGCTTATATCACGATAATGCATCAACAAACATTGTAGATTTTTTCAAGAATCCTTTTCAGGTATACGAATCGGAACTAGACAGAATGTTCTTAAATGGTAATTACACAAAATATTGTGCTCTGGCACTCTGTGTTATGTTTAATAATCGATTACCTCAATTTTATTTCAACAGTGATGTGGATAAAAAGATAAAACATATTTTTAAGAATACATTCGAGGAATGTAAACTTAGCAGGGGCACACCAATATTGTTTGTCAAAGACGAGTTAGATTCACTTATAAATACATTTGTTAAAAAAGACGAAACTTTTTATCGTATTTTGCATGATAAATTATTTGATTTCCTTGCATGCTATTTTGGGAAAAGAATGATAAAATGTTTGATAACAAATGCAGACGCGTATTTTATTGCAAAACGATTTGTATTTGGAGTTCAAGACTATAAAGACGAATTTATTATTGAAATTCCGCCTAACTTGTACATGAGGTATCAAGAAAGACTAATTGATGACTGGACAAATGGTAGGGTTACATGTGTATTTTGTAACAAAAACATGAAATCACCGGATTTTCGAAATATGTTTTTATCATATCTACGTGATTTAGATCTAACTTTACAGAAAAAATTAGCACATACATATAATACAGGCTATTTTGCTACTGTTTTGATGAACTGTTGCAACACCGGAGACATTAACTTTGTGAATTGGTGCATTAGTCAAAACACAGATGTTAATGAGTGTAGTAAAGATGGCATATCTCCTCTATCTATTTCTTGTTCTAATGGTAGTACTGAAATATTAAGATTATTGTTAGCTCTTAATGCGGATATTGATACTTCTGAGCAACAATATGGCACATCAGGTTTATTTATTGCATGTTTGAATGGTCATACAGAAATTGTAAAAATACTTTCAGATAATAACGTAGACGTAAATAAATGTAACAAAACTGGAACAACCCCACTTTTCATGGCTTGTCAAATGGGGTTTACTGAAATTGTCCAAATTTTAATCGAACAAAATATAGATATAGATAAATGTAGAGAAGATGGCACGTCAGCCTTGTTTATCGCCTGTGAAAGAGGATATGTTGAAATTGTTAAGCTGTTGCTTGACAAAAATGCTGATATAAACAATTATCGAAGTATTGACAGTCAAACTGTGCTATACAAATCTGTTATTAAAGGGCATGTCGAAATTGTGGAATTATTAGTGAATAAAAAAGCAGATATTAATACATGCTTGAACGATAACACTTCCCTTGTTCTTGCTGCGTGTCAGCATGGGTGTGAAAAAATCATCAAGATTTTGATTGACCATCAAGTAGATATAAACAAATGCAATGATGCGCATATATCTCCTCTATATTTATCATGTCAGAACGGGTTTGAAAACATCGTAAAGATTTTGATAGATCATCAAGCAGATATAAACAAATGCATTAATCGGAATATATCACCTCTATATGTATCATGTGAGAACGGATACGAAAGCATAGTCAATAAACTTCTTGCTAGCAAATCGGATGTTAACATATGCACACAGATTGGTGAATCACCTTTGCTAGTTGCTAGCAGAATGGGCCACTCCAGGATTGTAGATATACTGCTGAATAACAAGGCGAATGTAAACAAATGTATGAATACTGGTTCTTCGCCACTTTTTATGGCTTGTCAGGAAGGAAAGTTTGAAGTAGTGAAACTTCTATTGGACAACGAAGCCAACATTCACAAGCAAAACAATATCGGATCTTCTCCTTTTGTTGTAGCTTGTGCACAAGGACACACAGATATAGTTTATTGTTTGCTTAAAAACAATGCAGATATAGACCAGTGTATGCATGATGGCACATCTCCTCTTTTTATGGCTTCACAGGAAGGACATTTTGATATTGTAAAACTTTTACTTGAAAAACGAGTAAATCTCCATAAATGTAGAGATGATGGACAGTCTCCTCTTTTTATAGCATGCCAGCATGGGAACGCGGAAATAGTGAATATCTTATTAGATAAAAGGGCAGACGTTAACAAATGTCAGAGCAATGGTGATTCACCACTTTATACAGCTTGTAAATTTTGCCAAGAAGACATTGTGGTTTCATTACTTCAGCATAATGCTGATATAAATCTACCTAACAAGATAGGCGGTTCACCTCTTTTTATAGCCTGCCAAAAAGGGTACATAGGTGTCGTTACCATATTGCTTCTGTACAATGCAGACACTGAAGTGTACACGAATGTGGGGGCATCGCCACTTTTAATTGCTAGCTCGAAAGGGCATACGAATATAGTTAAAATGTTACTTGAAGTCAAGGCAGATACAAATAAATGCGCAGGCGAAGGAATTTCACCTCTATTTATAGCATGTAAAGAGGGTCATGAAGACACAGTGAAACTCTTAGCAGAAAGTAATGCAGACATAAACATGGCTTCTCAATACGGTATGACGCCTTTATATCTATCCTGTCAAAATGGGGATTTAAATATAGTTAAATTATTATTGAATAAACATGCTAACGTTAACATCGCCACGTTTAACGGCTCAACACCACTATTTGCATCAAGCAGAGAAGGTCACTTAGAAGTTGTGGAAGAATTGTTAAAAAAAGGAGCGGAGATGAACAGTAACATTTATGGAATTTCGCCTTTAGAGATCGCTCTTTATAAAGGACATTCGGATGTATTGCACTTGCTTGAAAAACACGTGATAATTATTCATAACCAGGACATCAATAAAATTACCAATACTGGTTATTTTCCTCTTTATTTAGCATGTGGAAACGACGATATAGAAAGTGTGCAAATGTTACTCAACAAAAAGGCAGATGTTAACCTGTGCACCTGTGATGGCACAACGGCTTTACATGCAGCATGTTATAATGGTAACATTGAAATAGTTGAGGAATTATTGAGGAAAGGGGCTGATTTGAAAGACAATAATGATGGTATCTCCCCATTAGATATTGTGCGAGGTAAAGGTTATAACGATATTCTGCATTTAATCAGTAGGTACATTACTATCCTTTATGAAAGAATGGTGTAACACATAGCTGATATCATATGTACTTTAACTGTTTATTTGATTTCGATACCAAAGTTTTATAGTTTGTGCACAAGCTAAGAAACTGATATAATTGATAGCATAAATTAAAGAAATGATGACATTATATGTAGGCCTGATCATGTTTTATCATGTTATAGGAAAGCCTTCTGTCAAAGAATTTAATATTAAAAGTAAAACAAGTTGTTTTTGAAATGTATGGCCATGACATAAATTTATCTGTTTTGCTGGGTTACCCAACAAAGTATTACCAACTTCTTTATCAGCAATCAGTGCTTCAGAGTTACCGTGAAACTACCTATTCGAGAGGTATGGTGAAAATGATGTGAATACTAGAATATTCTTAAGATCAGTCATAGTTATACAAGTCTACGTCTTCGCGCAACAGTGTAAAACATTTTACTTTCTACCTTTTACACTAGTATTCTTCATTCTATACCTAATGCTTCCCATGAAGAATAAAATAATAAGCTGGTATTATCCTTTAACTACACGTTCCGCTAACAAGATTATTTACTCTCTCAGTATATATAAACATTTGTCAACTATGATGATCGCATCTATTCCACTGAGCTTGAAATAATGGATACCGCAGACACAGTTAAGATTGCTTCTTATCTTGACTTTCATTAAGACATTAACAATTGGGGTTGTTTGAGATTTTAACTTTGCGACCAAAGAAATTATTTCAATTTTCACTTGTGTGAAATTTCCATTTTTCTGTAGCAACATTCAAATAGCACTTATATATATGGAGTCCGTCACTTGTCACCGAATGTTTACCTGCCCTCAGCAACAAAACGGTTGCCATTAGTGGAACATGAGTTGCCAAGCCTTCCGAACCACCTGAGTTAACCCATATATTTAGGTTTCTGTGAAGTGTATAGTGGATTTGATGACTTAATGATTTTTTGTCGCCTTTTTAGGGAGGGGGGGGGGGGCGTTGAATTGTTTGTTTTGCTTCAACTAATGTTTGTAATTGCCCCCCTGGTACCTCCGCATTCTGTTTTACACCAGAAGTCATATTATCATAATACAGAAAAAAAATGAATTACCGATGAAAAGTTCTCAAAAAGCAAGTCAGGATCTCATTTAAAACTCAGAGTTTTTGCGTCCTTTTAAGAAATGGATTTGATGGCTGATATCTGGCATAATAATCGCTATTTTATCTAGGCATAACTTGTTAAGATTAGTCGAAAGAGAATACATCATGACACAAAAACTTAAAAGACATCCAGGTCAACATTTGGTCATTGTTTGTTTGAAGTAGTTTTATTGGTGTATCGATTGGTGTTTTTACATTAATTTAAAGCTACATGTTCCAAGTAAAGAACCAAGTTACGAACCTCGTTAGTTGTTACCTGAATCAAAAACTAAGAGTCTTTGTTTCCTTTTGAGAGTACTAATATTTGGCAGGATAGTTTTGTCTCCCCTGTGACGAAAGTGGCAGAATGCGAGACAGGCATTACTATCCGGTGGCGTCAACGACGGCTTAACCTATTTGTATAAAGCTTTATTATATGATTTCAGAAGGAACAATACTTGGATGCTTCATACTAATAAAAATAAGAAAGATGTGGTATGATTGCCAATGAGACAACTCTCCACAAGAGACCAACTGACACCGAAGTTAACAACTATAGGTCACCGTACGGCCTTCAACAATGAGTAAAAAAACCATACCGCATAGTCAGCTACAATGTATAAAAGAACCCGAAATGACAAATGTAAAACAATTCAAACGAGAAAACTAACGGCCTGATTTATGTACAAAATAATGAACGAAAAACAAATATGATATACAGCAACAAACGACAACCACTGAAATACAGGCTCCTGACTTGGGACAGGAACATACAGGATGTGGCGGGGTTAAACTAGTTTGAAGGCGTCAACCCTCCCCCTAACATAACATGGGACAGTGGTGTAATAGTTCAACATAAGAACAAACTATCAAAATCAGTTGAAAAGGGCTTAACTCACCAGATCGATATAAAGCAGAAAGACATCTAACAAAAACACAGATCGTACGTGGCAGGGTGTTCATACATCCCCACAACAACAAAAAAGACACTAAGTACAGATTTAATAGTACTCGCAGTTACTGACAGCTACATGTAGTTAAAAGCCAATAACAACTAATAAAAAATTCATGCATCTAAGACTAAAATATCAATCGGTACACATCCAAAATCCAATGGATTTACTGTAAAGACGTCATTGACAGTCAAAGAAAAAACATGACCTTGTGCAATGCCAAGATACAGGTATCGACAGATTGTAGAGCCATGAATGTGCATATGTATATAAAAATAATATTTGGTTTGATTTTACGAAGTTGCCGTCTGTCATATACCCATTGTCCTTGACCTCATTTTCATGGTTCAGTGACTGATTGGAAACAAATTATACTTTGTTGTCATTATAACTATATATTTCGTATATGGGATCCTTACAAGGTCTACATGTCCGTCAGACCAGGTTCACCTGACCTCGACCTCATTAAATGGATCAGTGATCATGGTCAAATTCTCGTGGTTAAATCCATATCTCAGATACTATAAGCAATATGGCAACCATATTTGGTGTATGGAATTATTGCTAGGTGTACATTTCCGACTGATAGGTGTCATCATACTTTGACCTCATTTTCATGGTTCATTAGACAATGTTACGATTTTGTGGTTTGGTCTATTCCGCAGAGCCTATAAGTCATAGGGCTATTATATTTAATTGATGGAATGGTTGTAAGGTGTATATGTCTGTCTAGCGGGTTTCATCTGATCTTGACCTAATTTTCATGGTTCATTTGTCAATATTCGGTTTTCATGGTTTCGTCCGTTTATCAGATACGATAAGTATATGTAATCTATAATTGGTATATGGAATGATTGTAAAATGTACATGTCTATCTTGTAATGTTCATCTGACCTTGACCTTACGGTTCATTGGTCAAACTAAGTTTTCATGGTTATGTCTGTTAATCAGATACTATAAGCAAAACGACAACTATATTTGGTGTATGGAATGAATACATGGTGTACATGTTGTCTGGCAGGGCTGATCTGACCTTGAACTAATTTTTATGGTTTATTGGTCAATGTTAAATATTTGCCTTTCCACTTTTAAACTCATCTATACTGATAAGATATGATTATAGTCAATCAGGAAGATATTATAACTAGAAAAGTATGAAAATTACAGTGAATGAATATTGTTACTGTAAAAAGGGTGAAATCAAGATCATACTAATATAACACAAACATTAATCTGTTTACCATAGGATTTCTTAAAGGTTAAATCAAGTTGTTCAAATATGCTGGAAGTATCCAAATGTGAATTAGAACATCACAAGCCAAGAAATAAACCAACTGGCTGTCCTAGCTTATCAGGATGTGGAGTTGTTTGTCCACCTTTATTACTTGAAAATATTTGGTGCAAACGTTCAGACTAGTTGCTCACAGACACAAATCTGCCCATTATCCAAATTATATTTAAACTAAATGAACAAAAATATAGCTAAAATTGTATTAATAGGTGATATAGGTCTTCGGGTATCTAGTACATAAATAAGCAATTGCTTGTTAACACTTTTATTCTAAAAAAAAAAAAAACTATAATAGAACTTATAGATATTTATCGTGAGATTTTATTGAAAGAGATGACATATTATCTACGAGTACAAAACCGAAAAACTATCGCTGCAAAGTGTCTTCTATATTTAATTAGCGTTGTTAAATGTGGTAAAATGTCTATATTTATCGGATGTAGGATAATTGATCGATTATGTTATCATATTAAAAAAAAAAATCATTTTGAGAACCTTTCCGAGTAAATTGAAAATCATTGTTATTTACTTTTAACTTGTCTTTAATATTTATGTCGAGTGTTTTTCTTGTAGAAAGCAAAGTCTCTCTTGGTAATGAACATGTACTTTTTTTCAATTTTTTATGATGGGTTAAATTCTATTGAAATTTTGAGCATAAAGAAAGGGCAGTATAAGGTACACTAATGTATACATGTGTAGTGATGTCATAGATCGAACGTAATCAATGCATCACTGGTAGATTATTAAGTCTGGGATTTAGTTACCATAAATTACTTAAAACCTTTACTAAATTCTTTCATGATACAAAGATTTGGCTGTACCTGTAGAAAACTTATCAAAAACGGTATTTCACATCCTAAATTTTACGGTAATATTGTACTAAAAGCGCGGAAATCACTATGTGATCCGTGTAAACTCATCGAACCTTTAAACAAACTTATTAGTAAAGGTTATCTTACCAATGTTGTAATTAGATCTTTGAATATAGTTTACATTGGCACAAATATCGATTTTGTCATCAGCAAATTAAAACATAACTAAATTTGTATTCTTTTCAAACGTTTTTTTGGGATGTATAAATACACATCCACGTTCATTTTCTATATAGAGATTACTCTATCTATATATAACATAATACATATTTATCAAAAGGTTAACTCCTAACTATCCTACTGCCTGTCGATACTTTTATTTTGGCATTGCACAAGTCATGTCTTCTTTGACTGTCCATGACGTTAAAATACTAAATCCCTGGGATGTGTTTTAGTTGATTTAAGTCTCTGATGCATGATTTTTTTTATTATTAATTTTTTTTGGCTTTTAACTAGCTTTCAGTAACTGCGAGTACTCTCAAATCGTACTTTCGTGTTAATTTGACCTGTTGATACAATTTGTAATGCATTTTTGTTATTCAATAATCACTTATTTAGTGTTATATCTTGTCTCACTATTTTTAATATATACCACCTTTGATACGTGTTTGGTATGACGATAAATTTTCACTTCTGTTCTCGTACTATGAACAACAAAATTATTTATTTTGTAAAAAATATTTCCGTACTCCATGTATACCTTACAACAAAATTATTTTTATTTACCTGTGTACGTTATTTTATTTGGCGGCATTTTGTCCAAGGTTATGGTTGTCTTTCTGATATTGTTTACCATCTCACCCCTTTTTCATTAATTTTGTATTTACATCATGTCATAGATCAAATTTATTCGTTCAGTGTATGTTCACTTGTTTTTGTTAATATGTCTTTTGATTGAGTTAAGCCATTTCAATTGATATTTTATAGTGTGTCTTTCTATCTTGTCATGTTACAATATAATTGTTTCAGGTAAGGGTGAAGGTT